GGCTGGACCTGCTGGGCCGGTGGACCTACGGAGTGGACCCCGGTGGGAGAGTCTTCTTCATCAAGTATGTCGTCCGTCTCGTTGATTTCTGATTTCTTTAAAGTTGTCCAACTTGAAAGGCGGCGGGGCTGGGGGCGGCTGGCGAGGGCAGGGGGGAGCAGGGGCCGGGACAAGGGGCATGACTAACAAGTTTATCACATGCCGGTTTGAATGGGTCTCCCGCCTTTTCCTGGGCGTTCAAAGTCCAGCACAGACTCAGCGTTCTAAGGGCTGGAAGGGCAGGGCCAGGCAGGGCAGGTGCCGGCCTTCCCCCTCCTCCCGCCTCAGACCCAAAGGGGAGGGCGACCAGACCCAGGGCCCAGCCTGCAGCTCTTTCTTCCCGGTGCAGCCCGCTGAACGGGCCAGGGCTGAGTTCTTTCATTTTCTTTGTTGTCCCCCACCCCCCTCCTTCAGGGGAGACTTGGGCTAAGTGACAACATATCAGGGGGCCCTGGCTCTACATCCAGGTCCTGGCATATCCTCACCCCAGGACCCAGTGTCCCCAGGCCCGCCGCCTCTCCTTCCTGCTTCTCTCTGGGGCTGTGGTCCAGAGGAGGGAGGGGACGCCCACAGCACATCAGCATTCTTCGGAGAGCGAGCCTCTGCTGCTCACAGTCATATATTAGCACTGTTCTATTAATTCCATAAACCGAAATGGCTCTGGCATAATCTCATTATAACAGAGTGGCCCCGCTGGCGCTATTTTGGCCGCTGGTACCGTAGTCATGCTTTGCCAGGGGAGAACTCTCTCCCGAGGATACAGCAAGTCTACAAGCGCAGCATCCTGAGCTGTTCCCCACCCAGGAGGAGTTGTCCCTTCCTCAGGAGAGCCCCTCAGGACAGGAGAGCGGGGGGCATCTCAGACGCAAGCCCTCCGTCTTCAGATGGGGAGGCGAGGTCCTCGGGCGGAAGGTACTCGTCTGAGACACAGCCACTTGTTATCAGGGCTCGGACTCAGGCAGGTAGCTGCTGACGCTAGCCATTCCCCTGCCCCGCCTGTGCAGGTGGCCAGCGATTTCCCTCTAGTGTTTCTCAGTTTCCTCATTTGCTGTTGGCCTTTCTTCCGTAATTATCATCCCTATGATCCTAATTGAGGCTGCAATTAGATTATCTTAGAGATGACCGCCATTGAAGTTCTTGATCCTGGGTTAGATTCTTAAATAACAGAAATCCCCCAGTATTAAAACTGGAGTTTCTGCTGTCCCTGGTTTGAGACTTTATTAAGAATCAAGAATCACCCGAGGAATTTATGAAAAAGGCCGACCCTGATGCTACCTGCAGGCGTTCAGAAGGCCTGGGGTGGAGCCAGGGGATCTGAATTTCCACAAATTCCTGTTATTCTGATGAGGATTAATGTGACTCCTCATCTTTCTTCCCAATCTCATTTGCCTTTTAGCTTCTCTTCTTTCTTTCTTTCTAAAGATATATTTTACTGACTTTTTACAGAGAGCAAGGGAAGAGGGATAGAGAGTTAGAAACATCGATCAGCTGCCTCCTGCACATCTCCTCCTGGGGATGTGTCCGCAACCAAGGTACATGCCCTTGACTGGAAATGAACCTGGGACCCTTGAGTTCGAAGGCCGACGCTCTATCCACTGAGCCAAACTGGTTAGGGCTCTTCTTTCTTTTTTAAAAAAATGTATTTTTATTGATTTCAGAGAGGAAGGGAGAGGGAGAGAGAGATAGAAACATCAATGATGAGAGAGAATCTTTGATCAGCTGCCTCCTGCACGCCCCACGCTGGGGATCAAGCCCGAAACCTGGGCATGTGCCCTGACCGGGAATCAAAACATGATCTCCTGGTTCATAGGTCGACACTCAACCACTGAGCCACACTGGCTGGGCTTCTCTTCTTCTTTCATTCCACAAACTTTTATTGAGTGTCCACCGCTTTTCTGCCGTAGGGCTAGGCATTGGAGATAAGGAAGAAAAAAAAAAAAAAGGAAAAAAACAGGTTTTTTTTTTTTTTTCTTGAAGGGGATAGGAAGAAAATGAAAATAAATACTTAGGAGATGAAATAATAGGATCCATTCTAGAGATGTTTTCTTGGTGCTCCAGGAATACAAGGAAGAAAAAACGAATGTTCTCCAAGGAGGAAACATTTGAGCTGCTTTGAGAGGAGAGAGACCAGATTGAGAGGGGCCTCGAAGCAGAGGCCTATGGGAAGGAGGGCATGCTGGGCGCCAGGGCACAGGTTATCTAGGACATGAGGGGGACCTAGAGATGGAGTGGAGGCTGCAGAAGATGTGGAGGAGAAGGGGTCTGACCCTGCTTCTGTAGGTGAAGGGAAACCAGAGATTTTAAACAGGGGATTGGCGTAGTTAGAGCTGCATTTTAGAAGGCTCCCCCTGGCAGCTGCATGGACGGAAGATGACTTGAGGGTGGAGAGCAGTTAGGAAGCAAAGGCAGAAGGCCAGCTGATGGGGAACTGAATTGGGGTGGTGAGAACAGAAGGGAAGGGGAGGGAGAAGTGGGAGAAAGAGGAGTGCAACTGAGAGCATTCATGTACTGCCTGAATGTTGGGGAAGGGAGGAAAAAGGAAGATCTGAAGATAAATCTCAGAGTTGTTTACTTCAGGTGACAGAGATCAGAAGTATGGGGAGAGGAACAGATTTTAGGGGAGATAAGTTCAATGGGAAAATTCCAAACTTGAAGTCCCTGTGGGATATTCACGAGGTGACGTCTAACAGGACAGAGCTTACGGGAAAGGCCTGGGCTGGAGAGTCCGGAGGGTCATCATGTGGGAGTGGAACCACCCAGAAGTAGGTGAGAGAGAAGGCGGGAGGGCACCCAGGCAGCACCCATGTTTAAGGAAAGGACAGAGGGAAGAGAGGATGGAGCAGACGACTAGGGGTCACAGAAGGGGACAGCACCAGGGCCAGGGGCGGGTGCTGCCTCAGAAGGTGAGGAAGAAGGATGTTAGGGAGAAAGGAAGAGTCCATAGAGAACTCAAAAGTGTCCACTGGGTTTAGGAACTGCGGGGGTCTTTAATGACCACCAGGAAAGTGGTTTTAGGGGCGGGGCTTGACACAGAACCAGCCTGCAGGGGTGGCTGAGTGGGAGACCAGGAAGTGGGGACAACTAGAGGGACTGGTTTCCAAGAGGAATGTTTGGCCACTAAGAAGAGGAGCATGAGACAGGAGCCGGAAGAGGAGGCAGCATTGAGAGGAAGACACGGGCAGGAGTGAGGGCTAAAGGGATGGATCTGACAGTGGGAAGGAAGCCCAATAGAATTCGATTCTATAAAAGATAGGGGAGGTGGCAACGACCCCTTCGGCAGAGGGATTCGCCTAAATGGAGCAGGGCAGCCTCTTCTCCCACCTAGGAAAGGATGGGCGGGAGCATGGCTACGTTTGGGAGATGGGTGGTTAGGTCCACTAGGAAAGGTTCTGCCCCTGCTTTCTATATTTTGTGTGAAATAAGAGATAAGACATCCATTGAGAAGAGGGGAGTGGTTAGGGGTAGGGGGGGAGGCAAGGCATGAGGCTTGAGGTTGGTGGGAAAGCCTTAGAACAATCAGCAAATGGCAACTGACTGGAGCTCCTGAAGAAGATTCTAGGGCCAGCCAAGCTTGGAGACTGGATTTGCAGTGACATCAACCCTCCCGATTCCACAGGGTCCCCGTCAGCCCAAAGCTGGAGTGACTGCATTGTTCTGGGCCAGGGGCTGACACCGGAGGGCCCAGGGGAAGAGGAAGTTGAGGGTGTGGTGGGGCTGTGCCCACCCTGGTGACCTCATGATTATTCATGATCCAGGCAAACTGAGGGAGCTGACAGTGTGAGAGCAGGAGAGGGATCAGGGGTCAGAAAGTGTCAGGGTGGCAGGGAGGAGGCACAAAAACCAGTGTCCCCTCACACAAGTCAGCGCTGGCTGGATTTACTCTTTTTTAAAAAAAAAAATATTTTATTGATTTTTTACAGAGAGGAAAGGAGAGAGATAGAGAGTTAGAAACATCGATGAGAGAGAGACATCGATCAGCTGCCCCCTGCACATCTCCTACTGGGAATGTGCCCGCAACCCAGGTATATGCCCTTGACCGGAATCGAACCTGGGACCTTTCAGTCCGCAGGCCGATGCTCTGTCCACTGAGCCAAACCGGTTTCGGCTGGATTTACTCTTCCTCAGCCGCCTCTCCCATTGTCTCCCAGGACCAAAGCCCAGCCCAGAGGTCATCCCCAAGGCCGCCCAATGTCTCCAGGGTCCCCGGGCCACCAGAGCAGTCACGTTGTTCCTTCTCTCCTCTCCTCATTGGAGGGGTGGGTGAGCTGGAAAATCTCCTCCTGCAGAGGGTGTCCAAACTTAGGGAAAGTTAGTGGAGTCAAGAGAAAAGCAAGCCTATTCCACACCAAGATTTGGACCTAGATGTTCCTAGCAGCTTCCTTTGTAATGGCCCCAAACTGAAAACAACCACAATGGTTATCAGCAAGCGAGTGGAAGAACACACAACCCTATATCCTCCGATGGAATGCTACTCAGTAATGAAATGGAACAAACTGTTAACTCACGCTACCACATGGGAGGGGATAAGGAAGAAAAGAAGG